TGTACTTTTTCCTCTTGTACAACAACAACACAGCTGGCTACTAGTAGTAGTACTAGTACGAGGACTAGTAGTAGCACTACTACTACTGCTGCTACTACTACTACTACTACTGCTAGTACTACTGCTACTACTACTGCTACTGCTACTGCTACTTCTACCGTTACTGCTACTGCTACGACCATTACAACGACGACTACGACTACCACTACGACAACTGCTACGACTACGACTGCGACTGCTACTGCTGCCGTTGCTGCTGCTACTTCTACAGGCACTGCTACTGCTACGACGACCACGACGACGATGGCGATGACAACGGACATCTAACATCTATGTACGGAAATCACTGAAGCTGCTCAGGAAGCACAATGCCTCCTTTTTGTGGCATATGCCTGCGGCTCATGCCTATGGCGTACAGTATGATAGTATAGTGAGTCATACTGCCACGACCCTGGCGCTACGACCCCTGGCACAGCTCCACCAATCCCATCACCTTTCTGTCATCTCTAATCTCTAACTCAAAGCAATCGCAGTCTCGTTCTCGCACGAACCAATGCCACGATTGTTTGAAAGGTTGAACAAATCTAACCCCTAGGCCCTAAACTCCAGGTCAAGCTTATGCTTTCAGTGCCTATGTTTGCAAATGCAGTCATGATGACAATTTAATTTCTAACCCTATTGGAACTCTATATCGCTCATATCTAGTTCGGCATTTTTTTTATGGCACACTTCTATGTCCAGCTTGACGTGAACTCTCTGGTCATGCCCCAAGGCTCCAAGTATACAAATAGTACCTACTTTGGGGTCTAAAGTCTGTAAATATTACCTTGGCTGACTTCTGAACCCCTCCAAAAAGTTAAACGTTTAGTCTCCTTATTATAGTTATATAGAAACCCAAAAAGTTAAAGTCCTAAGAGCCAACCAGAAGAACACCAAGTTACCTACTTTGGGCTATTTGGAGCTCCAGGGGTGATCAAGCGGACTGGCGCGCAGAGTCTGTCCGGAAGATAAACGCTTTGGCTTCAGCCTACACCCTGAACCCACCTTGCAAACCCAAAACCAAAAATCCTGAACCCCATATTTTATATATATGTATATATATATATGTATATACGTAATAACTGATCATGACCATCATCATGATGGCGGTGGTGGACCTAGTGCCTGTCGGCAATTCGATATATTCTGCTGGCCCTCATCATGCTCATCACGGTGATGGATATGACAAGAGTGAACTAATGATGACAAGAAACCCCCAACCCTCTTAAACCCTAACGCCTATTTATTATCATCACGGTCAAGCAAAGAGGCATCAAAAGCTCGTATCGGCTGACTCTGGCGGAGCCTCAGTGGTGCGGTTTAGGGTTTGGGGCTTAGGGTTTGGGGTCGTTCGTGGAGCCTGTTCCGACAACCGTCGAGACGGGCGGCGGAAGAGATGCCCATGCGAATGGCTCTGATACGGGAGTTTCCAAAAACTAGGGTACCTTATTTTGGGGTCCTTATAATAAGGGTCCTACTATTTAGGGGTACTAAAATAGGTTCCCCTATTTTCGGAAACTCCCATATGGGTAGATGGATCGCATACCCAGATCAGCGGGTCGCCCCGTGGTCTGCCCAAAGGGAGGCCGAGAAGCCGGGATTGGCACGGTCGTAAAGAGCGCGTCTAGCCAGGTGGAAACCCTTAAGGACGAAAAGAGCCCTAAAAGGCTTTAGGGTTCATATACCATATAGGGATTCACAGTAGAAGGGTATAGGGCCCCTACTTTTAAGGTTCTTTTCGTCCCTTAAGGACGGGATCGATTTATCACAACCATCACTCACAAAGCTCTTCGCCTGTGTCCTGATCTGGGCCTCGAACCTGTCCACCGACGTTCGAGCGAGCCCCCGAGCTCGCAGTCAGGCGGTTTGAGCAGCTGTCACGACCCTAAACCCTAAACCCTAAACCGTGCAATTCTTGCGCGTCTTGCTGGTGTGCGGCCGGAGGATGTCGACATCTACTTAGGAGCCAGTGCCGCTCCTTTGGGGGGGCCGGAGAAGATGCTAGCATCGATTGTGTCATCCTGATTCAGCAGCACGTGCTGCCACGGCTTTTTTCTATCTGCGCATACTCTGCTCTTGGCCCTGCCAGCCGAAGGCTGCCATACAAGTCTTCGATGCGAGCAAGGTTACCTCCGTGCAGCCAGCGTACGATTGTTGGTAAATCGACCTGTCTGTCTCGGGCGAAAGCTTGAAATAGCCAAGCCTCGATGGGGCCAATGTGGCATGGCCCTCCATCGCCACCATCAGCGGCATCCGATCCTCCATTGAATCTGTCCCTGTCTCTGGCTTCGCGGACTTTTGTCATTCTTTGGTCTATCGATGGATCATACCAGGCATGCGGCGTCGGTATGCCGAAGGCGGATCAGGGCTGAACCGTGTAGTTCTGGAGTATAACTATATCAGGGCGATGTTTCGGAGCAAAGGCGGGCTTAGCGGCTTAGCGGTGGGGTGTTGGGGCTTTCGGAGTTTTTGGGATTTTGGAGTGTGGCTTTAAGGTTTAGGGTTTGGATTTAAAAGTTTAGGGTTAGGGTTTCGGATTTAAGGTTTGGGGTTTAGGGCTTAGGGTTTGGGGTTAAGGGTTTAGGTATCGACAGCTGCAACTTCTGAAACGAAGCTTTTTTTACATGACCGCTCTTGCGGCAGCTGGGGTCCCCGAACCCCAAATCCAAAACCCCTTAATTAAGGAATATACCTTAAATTCTAATAGGAACCCTAATAAGATTTAAGGTATATTCCTGAATTAAGGGGTTTTGGAGTCTCTGGGTTGCCAGGGACCTGTTTTACGTTGGGTGTTGGGACCTGACACGTTCCCAGTTGCAGCTTGGGGCTTTGAGACCTAGTTTTACCAACGTAGCTTCTGCCTGCAGCTGAGTAAGCTTACGGTTTAGGGTTTAGGGCCTAAACCCTAAACCCTAAACCCTAAACCCTAAACCCTAAACCCTAAACCCTAAACCCTAAACCGTGCTTCTGCTTGTAGACCAAGAAGGCCGACCTCATTAAGGAACTGTCTATGGAAACTATCGTCAGGAATCCTAAGCAAAACTGCTCGGCCGTACGGTTCACAGAACCGAACTCTAAACCCTAAACCCCATACCCCTAACCCTAAACCCTAAACCCTAAACCCTAAACTCTTAAGCAGGTCGGCTTTAGGGCAACATGCTGTTCCCGTTGTCCGCAGTTTCCAGCCGGAAGTTCTCCTCAAGCCCTTTCCCAAAACCCTAAGCCCTCAACCCTCAAACCCAATGGCTTTGCTTGTAATTGTTCAGACAAGAACTGTCAAGAAATCCGATGATAACTGTCGAGGCCCCTGTATTACACCTCAACCCAGAGAGCCCAATACCCCTTAATTAAGGAATATACCGCAAATCATAATAATAAGGCCCCTACAATTTTCGGTCTATTCCCGATAAACCCTAAACCCTAAACTGAACCCTAAACCCTAAACCCCAGACCCAAAACCCTACAATCTAAGGTCTTCTTCCTTAATACTAGGATTTAAGGTCTGTTCCTTATTTAAGGGGTATTGGGCTCTCTGGGAAGCTGCTTCTGCTGAGATCGCCACGGAGATGCTTCTGGAAGGCCGCCTCTCAGAATTCACGCTAAGGGTCCATGTGCCCGCAATTGTATACATATTTGTTTATTTATATATATATATATAATGTAGATACACATATATATATATATATACATATATATATATATATACATACATACTTTGGGCCTAAAGTAGTCCCGAAGACATTGGCCTCCAGGTAGACCCCAAAAAGGTACTTCAAGGCTGAGGTATATACTAGTTGGGCACATGGACTCTGAGGAGTAGGGGCTTGGGTTGAGCGGTTAGGCAGTGAGACTCTGGGGTGGTTGGGTGTAGGATTCCTTGTTGCCCTCTGGGTCCAACCATCTAATCATCAGATACTCTCCCAGATACTAACCTACATACCTTCTATCCGGAACCCAAGTACCTGATTATTGCCCTTAGGGAAGGGTTCCTTGAAGGGTTCTATCTGGCGTTAAGGAGGTCTGAATGTGATAGATTTCGCAGCTTCTTTACTGATGACTTAAGGGATAATGGAAGCTGGGCTTAGGATTTGGGGGTTCAGGGCTTAGGGTTTAGGATTTAGGGTTTAGGTTTCTTATGGGCTGTAACTATGGACGGTGCACCCAACGCGTGGATGTTGCTGCGACCGCCGAGGTGCTTCGGGCCCCGTGCTGAGTCTGCGGAGCAGTTGCAAGATTGACATCTCGATGAACCCCTAGAGGGTCCATAGCATACACGCTGCTACTGTGGCATTAGGGCCCCAAAGCCATAATGAGGATGGTCTTTTGGGACCAAAAGCCATGATGGTAGTATACATGGACGCTCTGTGATAAGTAGTAACAACTAGCAATCG